TTGGCGATGGTAGAATTGAAGCATACGGCGAATTTTCAGATGAAGCCCAACTGAAAGATACAATTCAAGAAATGATTGATATTTTTCACCTTGAAATAGTTTTCTTAGCTGATCTTTTTCATGATCTTCGTCAAACGCGCCCCAGTTTTGATTCCGCTTTACGGTTACATCAATGGCACAGGCACATGACTGAAAGTGCTTGCGAACATCTTCTTCATCTGCATTAGGCGGTAAGCCTTTGACTTGAATAAGTGGCGCATCCTTGCTATCTTTCCCTATGGCACAAATTATTTTAGCAGTTCCCAGCTGAGTATTAGTCATTTGTTTAACAGCGAATTTAGCTTCTTCATATGTTTGAAATTTCACGATAGCTTCACCTTTTTTCGTGTTGCTTCCACGATAGTAAATAATTTTTATCCTGGGCAAATGTGTTGGACCTTGATAAACACATCGACAGTGCAACTTTTTTGAGAACAGATCACATGCATCATTTGCACTTTTTTCATTGGTGAAAACAATTCGTCCATTACCAGTGGACGGAGTCATATACCAAACTGCTTTCAGATAAGTATTTTGACTACCAACAAAGGCGTCAGATTCATGACAGGTGACGCCAATGGATATTTCACAATCGGCCATCATGAGACTGGCGAGTTTGCCATAGGCCCTTTTCGCTTCTTTTGGCGTGGCATAAGTAACGGCTGCAGTAATGCCGCTGCTTGTTTGTTGTAAAATAGATATGTCATAAACTAAAACATCGCGAAAGAGCAGACAGACGCAAGAAAAATTGATCAGTTTTTATCGTCATAAATGAGCAAAGTCAGCTTCCATGTAGCCGATGGTTGCATTATCATATAATTATTGCCATTATAATGCACTATATTGGCAAATAATGACAATAATTACATGATAATGCAACCATCGGTTACATGAGTTCCGACTATTCGTCTTAAGTAATATTATTTTATCAGCATGGATAAAGCATGCAGCTACTTCTCGATTATTTGAACTTACTCTTAATCTCTCCAACTGTTTCACATTTCTCTTTGATTGATTTTTCGGTCATTGCACCTGGTAACTTTTTCATGATAATTCGAATAAATTCATCTTCGACTAGAATCATTTTACAATGTCCACCTTTTCCCATCACGATACGTGTTCTGCCTGCAATTTGAATTTCTTCTCGTTCGTCTGATAACTTTCGCTCCTCGCACTTAAACATTTCTTGAACAATTTTTTTCGCGGCAACCAAATTGTCTTGTTCACACCAGATCGTCAACTGTTTTTCAATATAATTGACATCAACTACACCTTGAATGATATCATTGATCATATTAAGTTTACAGTAACGCTTTCCTAGAACTGATCTTAATAACGCCCATTTAACTGTAGCGGGTGTGAATGTGTAGCTTTCGTACACAATTCGGTGTAAATTGTCAATTTTTGCATCCCTAAACCATTGTTCCGACGCCGAACCCAACAGCTTGATATCAACTTCAGATAAGGTCATTACGTAGTTAATTCCGTTCAGATTCACCAGTTCATTGTAAAGTACGTATTTCGGTGTTGCTCCGTTTAATGATGGTGCTGAGTAATGCGACACACGTGCAGTCAACGGTTTTTGTAATATGAAGGGGTCTGAATGAATCACTCGATATCCAGCTCGTAGTGGACCATTGGACACAGCTAAGTTCTGAAAGTGGCCAGCTACAACGCATCGTAGGATTCGGTTGATCAAATCTTGGTTCAGTTCTCCATCAACTGTTATTTCATGATTCATTTGTTTCGCAACCTCTTTCATAAAATCATCCGCAATGTTTATACTTTTTGCATTTACAAAATTCTCTTCACACCATTTAAATTGCTGCTGTCGATTACGTTCATCTCGCCATCTGAAATAGACATTTAACAGGGTTATGTGATCACTGTTCTCATTACTGAGTTTCGCTCGAGCTCGTTCTGCACGACGTTTGTCCTCCTCGCCTTTACATCTCCACCAAATATTTTGTGATACGGACAGCATACCTGCCATAATCAACATGTGATCCAAACATTTTAATTCTATGGCTTTGTAGAGCATAGCTGTCAGTTTTGGATCAATACCAAGGTGCGCCATGTTCTCTCCAAGATCTGTTAATCTGCCTTGATCATTCAGAGCATTTAGATAAGTTAGAGTTTGAGTAGCTTCACCGAGACTTAATGATAGAGGTGGTTCGAGCCATTCGAAGTGTTTTGCATCATCAACTCCTAAATACTTTAATTTTAAAATTGCAAGTGTTGGTTGAGTACACAATATTTCTGCGCGTGAACAATCTTCCAACGATTGGTATGTTGCTACTGTGTATAGATGATAGCACTGCAAAAATTAAAAATAGCAAATTAGAGGTTTTTACTAAGAAAAAAGTGTGATGTAGAATTAGTTCTTGGAGGCTGTTCTAGACGTTTTTCTTCTACACGATAGACCTACTTTTCCTGCAGATGTTCTTCCCGCTCGTCCACGCCGTTGCTTGACTGAGCTTTTTGTTATTTGTCCAACTTTCAATATTTGCATCTTTCTTTTCTCATCCCACATCTTCTCTTTAACCATTCCACTATCGATAACATGCTTGATTCCTTCGATTGTAACGGATGTTTCAGCTACATTTGTGCTGAAAATAATTTTTCGCTTTTCTGGCTCGTTTTTAAATACCAGTTTAGTCTCCTCTTCAGTAAGTTTCCCATGTAATGGTAGAGCTAAGTACGACTCGTCTTTGCCAAGCTTTTGATTTAGTTCATTGATAGCTAAATCAATTTCCATTTCGCCGGTGAGAAAGACAAGTATGTCACCAGTCTCGTCACTTTGATGAATTTTAGCAGCTTTTGCGACTGCTGCTTGACCATAGTTTTCAACATCGTCGTCGAGGTAGAAGTCTTGAATGGGAAAGCCCCGTCCCTCCACTTCTAAGCTACCACATCTAAGGTTTGAGTCTTTTGTAAAATATTTGTACAGAAAATCTTTATCCAGAGTTGCAGACATGACGATTAACTAAATAAATTAGATCAAGTTCAAGTTAGTAAATTTTCAGCAACTTCAAATGTTTTCTCATTTGCACAGCTAGGAGTGGACCAGAGTTTGGTCACGCGACATACTTTCTTATTCCCTAGACTGAAAGGATAGGGCCTAGAAACCGTAATTCACCTCTGTCTGTCTGTGTGTCTCCCTCTGTCTGTAACACTTGGCACAAGTGACCACCTTAAGGGTACCCCCCCTCTTTTTGATGATTTCCAGATCTCGCAATTGGCGCAGCCGATCAAGCTGAAATTTATACCAGAAATAGAACACCTAAAATGACCAGACACGTGTTCGAGGAAAAATTTTTTTCAGGGGGTTTTAGTGGTTTTTTGTAAAACCTTTGGTTTTCCATCTTGCCAAGGGAAACCCCTATTAAATTTTGTCAAAAGCAGCTGAAAATTTTTTTACAGGTACCTAGGAGTCAATGCACGGTAGGGACGACACAAATGACGTACCACGTGCTCAATCGACCTCATCGATTTCGGTGAAATTTTGCCATTATGTAGCCCTAAGTGAGTTATGAAAACCCTAAAAATTTCAGCTTCTAAAACCCTTCCTTTC